CCTACTATATATATTATAATTATTACTGCATAATATTATAATTATTGTTTAACTATTGTTTTTAGTTGGTATTTTTCTTATTGATTAATTTAATCTTGTGTACACAATTATTAGTAATAAACGCTGTTCCAAATTCTTTTAAAAAATACAAATTTTGAGAATTTGAAAAATTTAATTTTACAAAAAAATTGACTTTTTGAACTACTTATAAAATGTAAAGGTATACCATTATACTGGAAATGTAATATAATATATTAAAATATACTACTGTTGAAAATCCCAAATTCAAATATACTGGTTTGACATGGAGGATCTCTAGGAGATACGGGATATTTTTGACATTAAAATATATTATATGGGTTAGACTGTACATACCTACCTATGTGAAAAGGAAATAGGCTTATATATTAAATGCTTCGAATTCCCAACATCATGACTACAGAATAATTATTAAAAATAATATCAACGGCTCCTATAATACGCTATATGAGGATAATGTCTCTGTTGGAATAATCGATAACGACGATGACTAATCATATAGCAATGGTGTGGATGGGTGGATGGCCTACAAATATTGAAATATATGTAATAATATTAAAACACGACCAATATTCCGCGTCCTACTCAGCTCCCATTGGAGTAGGTATGCGTATTAGAACTCGATAATATGCAACATATTATATTACTGTAATATTATAGCTTAGAACCGCCTCCACGCCAAGGCCATTTTAATATCAACGAATCGACTTAATGTCTGTATCGAATTAGAGCAGTCTTGTCTTGGATCACCTATTTATAACGTGACACACGTGTGAGTAATTTTAAACGTAGTGATATAGTTTCGGTAAATTGTCATATTATGCACTTATGTACAATTAATGTATAATAAGCATATACCACGATGAAATACAATATAGTTAGAAGATTAAACAACAGTCACTGCAGGTACCACTGTACCAGCTATACTTCAGAGTTCAGACTTGGCTGCGAAGCCCATGACGATTTGGTACAACGATCGTATTGTTCTCAAGAATCGGTAACTACGACGATCAGCCGTAGGTATATGAGCTTCCATTGATTATACTATATAAGTGCTATAAAATATAACTATAATAGTATTTATCAGGCACGTAGCCAGGATTTGTAAAGGGAGGTGTTTTAATGTTTAATTTAAATACACGTATACTATTGTATGGGCTTTACACACTCTAAATGGTAGTCATCGATCTTCATAATTTTATCTAAAATTAATGTTTGTGTGTCTGTCTGTCTGCCTGCCTGTCTGTGTGACTTTTATGCATTCTTAAACGGCTGAACCGATGTTGATGAAATTTGGTACAGAAATAGATTAGACCTCTGGACAGAAGATATTCTAATTTAAAAACGGAGAGGACCAACCCCGGGAGGTTCTCAAACAGGGATTTTGAGATTTTCTATGGACATTTTTGTTTATAAATGTTGTCATGGATATTGTGTCAATGGACAACCTTTTAAACATATTATCCGTATAGAGTTGACATTTTCAATGGGCAACGAAGTGCACGGGATCGGCTAGTAATAAATGAAATATAACTATTATAGAACTATAATATATTATGGCACCTATTTAGTATAAATCTGAAGCATAAATACGGTCAAGGGCGGTGTTTCAAACCCTTGGCTCACCACTGGTATTTATAACTACTAGGTAATATTGTGTTACGTAGGTACCACAATGTAGGTAACCTCGTTACGTTATCAATGCATACTGTCTACGCTATTATCATTTATACTTTATTTTTAATTGTGGCGAACCGCTTTGCCGTGCCACAGCCGGAAACCAAATTTTGGCTGCGACGTACAGTCGCCATTTTTTAGGACATGTCCTCCTCGGCCAATGGCTGATGAACGCCCACCAAAAATTGAATTCTAATTACTAACATTATTCCTTATATGGCTGTGTCTCCCGGCAGTGTGTACGTACCGTAGTAATAATGATATTATTAATTATTATTATAAAACTAAAAGTTATCAAATAGATTAAAAATGTGTACTAATTTCCTAGTAATTCCAATATACTATGTATAGAGATTCCTATATATATGTTTTTAATATAGTTAGGCTTCTATAGACCTAGTTTAATAATGATATTGAAAATATAATTTGTTCTGCCACTACCTATGTATGGATAAATATTTTGATATCGACGTGTTATAGACATAATGTCATTAATATACTCTGCTTATTATTTCTTAACTATTTTTTAACCTAACCTTTTCCTTATATTATATTAATAAATAGGTACTTTTAATTTCGATCTATAGGTTATATATAATATACATGAAAAATTTGAGCAACCCGATGTATTAGAACATAAAAAACCAATGTTACGGCAAACCGTAAATATTTCATAATAATATCGTTAGCATTAATTATTATAATGTTATCAATACATAATGCCTACATTGTTTTTGTTTGATATTCTGGTGGATTTTTAGTGTTGTATATAAATATATGCCGCCGGCAGGCATAGAAACAAAAACGAGCGATTTGTCCGAGCAACGATATCGAAAAAAAAAAATAATATTTACATATTTTATAAACACACAACGGCAAAATTGGAACTAATCACCCCTGGCTATATTATTATTAAATTATGTACGGATTTTTCAGTTTTGGTCCCAGCCAAACGATAGGAAAAAATAATAATGATAATTATTATTACTACGGCGTAGAAATACGGTAGTAAAAGTTTTCGACTAATTAGTGATTGCATTCGACAATATAACATATAAATTATAACAAACCTGCAAGTATGTGCAGTGTATGGGTGTGTGTGTATACTGTTTAGTTACCTACTTGCAAGTCGTTTAACTATAACAATTTGAATAAAAATGAATTAAATAAGTATAAATAATTAAGTAGTAGAGATATCTGTATTAAAAATTAATGAGCACACCATCAACTGCATACAGATTTTTTTGTAAAACACAATATTAAAAAATAGAAATTGTTTGAAAACGATACTGTGTTGAACTTTACCAACGTTAAATACAACAAATTATAATATTGCAGCGAGAAATTGTATTTTTGGGGCATAAATCCGTGATCGTTATTACTGAAGGAAAATAATAGATTAAGGTACACATTATTTGAACTTGACAAGAATTTTATTGTTTGAGCTGAACAAACGTATAAAGAAATGTATTTTAGATTCTGCATAAACGAGACGCACTATATATTATATATATTACTGAAATTGTACGAAAACACTAATTATGATGGGGCGGTAAAAATATCTATAATTATATTGTTTTGGGGTGTCTTTCATTGTAAATCGAACACACGTCACGTGAAAATAATTGTTGTATTTCTACGTATATTACAATAAATACGGAAGAAAATATCAAAACTCGTTCAAACAATCGCGGTTTTAAGAGTAGAAACTTGAGAATTTCTTGGTAAACAGAACTTTACATAAAACGCCAACCAATTTTGAAACGACCGCTTATTTTTGTCAGTTTTATATTTTAATGCATTTCATTTTGATAATATTTAATATCCATTTATGATTATTATTCGGTAGGGTTGTATATTATTACAACAATCAATTCGCAGTCTTCGCCACGACTGTTGAATTAATACAATTCTACATATATATTTTTGACGATTTATACTAAAGAATATAATTACTTATTGCCTGTATAGTGAATATATTATTATTTTATTTATACTCAATTTTATCGGGTCGTTAAAAACCATTGTAGGTAGTTAAAATCTCTTTATGGTAACATTAATGTTTGTTATTTCTATAGGTATTAGATTATATTGTGACTAAAAATACTACGTCGTTAAAAAAAAAAAAATAATAATAATCAGAAAAGTTGATATATCTACACGTGCAGTTAAAACGATTAAAAACTAATTTTGTATACTATTGGATGTATGGGAGGAACTGCAGGGGTACAATAATAATTCAAAAATTAATCGGTCTGGAAAACGTTGTGGTAAAATTAGAAATTAAAATAAATTTTATAGCGTGATTATAAAAAATATATAGTAGATTGGGATTTCAGCAATGTTTCATATGTGAAACCACCAAAAACTGGTTAGACACTTTGAGGACACAAATAACATAGGTATGCATAATATACTCTCGAGATTGACATAGGCAGTCAAATTCGACTTGACGTATTCAAAAGGACGTCAACTGTCAAGACATCTTCTTGCGTTGTATTAATAATTCACGAACCTTGGTCGAACCACGACGTTTGTCTGGTTTATAAGTTTCCCGAAACCACAAAGCCACCGACCCTTTAACTGTTACCATAGTAAAGACGGGTCTACGCAAACGGCAAAGGGTCGCGCATAGTTTGAAAGAAAATATTTCAAAGTCTGTATAATTTGCTCGACATGAAATATTCGTAAAATCAGTTGAATCTACCGTCGGTGTTTTATTTTGTTTTTTCAATTGAATCAACCACAAAGATAATATTGTAATATCATATAAATAAAATACAATGTACGACAAATTAGTATTAATGCATACAGAACAAGTGAAACAACTATGTTCAATGGAAAAGAAAATATTTTCAGAAATTATAGCTACCTAAATCAATTCTCTGCAGACATAGAGTCTGCGGGGTCATCGAGCCCCAAGACGACTTTGTGCGAGTTTTTATCTCATGAACTACTGTGGACTAGATCTGTAGAAAGTTTGGGTGGGACCGGTCAACCCGGATATAAACTCGGTTTTTTTTTTCTTTTCGCGAATTACGATTGCTTTTATTTCCGTTAATCGTCAAATAATTTAGTAAGATTATATATAGTTTCATATGACTCGGTTAAACTCGTAAGTAATCCTCAAACACTCCTAAACGTCCGGATTTCCGGAGAGATTGTCGATTTTTTGGAAGATTTCCCACTAAACGTACGGCCTCCAACACCCCCCCTCCCCCACCCTAACCAACTGATCCACTCTAAGGGGTTAGTAGGACACGCGGGGTCGACCCGGCACTCACCTATGGTGGTGATGACGGACAGCGAGTAGAGGAACGATCCGGAAAACGACCATCGGGTCATCTGCTTGTTGGGGCCTTCGTAGCTGAAGTTGCGGACGGCCTCGATGACATGACTCTGGAACGACCGGAGGTGCACCTGCACCTCACGCTTCCACTCGTCTTCGCAGTACGCGTTGCAGCACACCATGTCCCAGATCCTGTCGGCCGTCCCACTGCGGTTCGCTCCCACCCGGTCGATGACCGCTATGGCGTTGCCGGGAGCGCCCTCGATGAAGATGAACATGAACGCGCCTGCGATCGTGTAGCCGACCACCAGACAAATGATGCCGATGTTGCTGAACAGGAAAGCTATGAACTGTCGCAAGTAGTCCTTGCACTGTTGCGTCCACGTCTTTTTCCGCTTGTTGTAGTACCGCCGGCCACTCCGTTTCCGTTCCATGACGGCGCGGCCGCTGCGCAACCACGGTAGCGGTCACCACCGGCGGCGGTCCGGTCCGACGACGGCGACCGCTGCGGTGGCGGCTACGCGCGGTTCATCGTCCACGCGCACACCGCACGTGACCGGGCGCACACCGCACAATATAATACGCGTTCCACGCACTGCACTCGCTACGCACCACGCACCACACGCGCCGCGAACCAAGCACTACGCACCACGCTCCGCGAACCACGCACCACGCACAACGCAACACGCACCACGCGTTACTCCGTTACACGCGACACGGTTTGTTACTTGGGCGCGCGCGCTACACGACTCTCGGCTGCCGGCGTACGGTTACGTGTGCGTTTTGTCGCCGGCCGGCACGCGCGCGCGCGCGTCTACGGTCGACGCGACTCGGACCCCCCGACGGAGGTGTCGGCCGCCCCGGCCCGTGTGCCTCCGGCGCGGCGCGCGCGAGTGTGGGCCTATTTTTAGACGCGTCTCTAAGCTCACTGGACCGCCGTACGCCGCCGCCGGGGACCAGTCTCGAATTAGACTCCGACGACGACAACGACGACTGCATAATAATAATAATAATTATAATAATATAATAATATATACGTCGTCGTGGCGTACGACACTCGCCGCCGACGGACAATATACTCTCGCACGTGTGACGATGACGTTACCGCGGTATACGCGTGTTTTGGTCGTCGTATTTTTACGCCGCTCGTCGGCGGCCTCCGCCGATACAATATTATTATATCTTGCCGGCTGCATGCTATGATATTTTGTACGATACGCGACCACTGCGGATAGTAACACTCTTTAGATAGCCGACCGAAAGTGTAAATTGAAATTGGTATTTAATCGTACAAAATTATATGTACCTACCTGTCTTCTATATATTATTATAATATAATATTATAATATACAAAACTCGTCCTGACTGACTGATTCATCAGCGTCGTAGCCAGAACCGCCGAATTCATGAGTATACAATTTGTTCAGTAGTTTCGTCGTTATATATAATTTTAAAGAGGTCCTCAAACGAGGATTTTGAGATTATTGGCGGAAACTTTGTTTCGTTTATAAGTGGTGGCGATTGGTTACTACTCGGTCATATCAGGTACAAGCATGCATCAAATAAAGAAACTAATAGGTACCTATCTTAAAAGTTAAAACCAAATGTATGTTTGTAGCTTTTATAATTCAAAAACTATGAGATTGATTTTTACGAAAGTCTCAGAGATTGTTTTTAGAGATATCAGTGAAGTTTAAAGAGTAAGCAGTTTAAACCAAAAATATAGCAAGCGCTAAATCCAATTGACGACTTGCGGTGGCCCAACTAGGTCGGATTATTTCACAAAGCTATTATAGGTACACTGATGCCGATTTGACCGTGTACTGACTACTGAGGTACATTAAAACTGAGATACACCCAAACCGAGGTACACCTATATATTATATATCCTATATACCATATAGGATTTTCCGCAAAAAAATCTGCACACCTCCGAATCCGGATTATTCAGCTATAGTGTATCGACAAAATATTATAAATTCAAGATTCGTCCAGGATATATACCTACCTATATTATCATATAGTATATAGTACCTATGGTAGCTACAGACCTAAAATATTTTAAATTATACCAGTGACATCGTTGTAGTTGTACCTACGTAATAATGCAGTCGGCATGTTCAACAACAACATTCAATCGTTCAATTGTTGTTTGTTTGATCAATTTCAGTTTGTGTTTGTCACAATTAATATACTATTTTAGCGTAATATTCTATAAAATATACACGAGCTAGGTGTTTTTGTTATAAATGTCTGTGGTCATTATCTCCCCAGTCCCCGTCACTACCCTCCACCGCATTATAACGACTGATCGTCCCCCTCCCCACCTCGTTGTACCGACCCTATTGGCGAGACTTGGAGCATCTGCTCGGAAAATCGGACAGACTTCGAACACAGGCCGTGCCTCGTTATTTACACATTTTTTTAGAACTTCTCCCTTCAATCGTCATCACGCGTTCAGAACAGAATCTCGAAAGTTTTGTTCTGTAGGTGCTTGTTAATTTAGGTACATATTATATTATAATCGTTTATAGATAATTGCCTCGGTTAGCTCTATAATTTATTGACGCGTTTCAGTTTTATGCTTTGCTTTCCCACAGGGCTGCAGAACTCGTAGAAACCTATTGCTCATCCTTCGAGAATAAGTCTGAAGACTATTAGTACGCGTCGGAAAAATTACGAGCACAAACAATTCAAATCTAAATCACGTGCCATTAAGTTCAGTACCTACTTTTCCTTAAGACGCAAGCAAATTGAAATTTAAAAATTCTTCCGATACTTTATATTGTACAATGGACTAAAGAATCCCTTTAATATATTTGCGGAACTAAATTCTAGAAATTAATTATTCGTAAAACTTTCGACCTTCTCGTTAATTCCCTATCGCTAACCGTATTGTTTAATCGAACAATATTATTAGTTAAAAATGAGCATAAATCCGGTTAATATGTCTTCATCGTACCTTCCGCTCAGTTTATTCTGAACAATATTATAAAACACCGGATCACAATTTGGGCTTTCCTGATTTGCCGAACAATTGTTTTTTTATTGCTATGAATGATATTTTTAATTGGCCATCATCTACTCTTAAGTGTAGCATCAAAGCGTACATTTAAAAGTCAACTGCTTAGATTTTGTGGCCAACATTAGTATACGCACCTAACCTTCCACTGACCACTCTTGACAATTTCATCTGCTACGTCGTGTAACCTCACTTTGAATAATTAGACATTCGATGTACTTAAGCATTTATATTATATAGGTACTCGTAAGTTCAGACGGCTTAGTATCGGGTTTTTCTAATACCTACTTAATAGAAAGACTGGATCAGTTAATGATATTTTTTAACTCAGTTAAGTTAAAGTGCACTAATAATAAAAAGTTAAAGTTAAAAGTTAATTTAACTATAGGTTAACTCAGTTAAGTTAAAAGTTAATACACACTTTTTGTTAACTTTTTATTAAGTTAAAAAAAGTTAATTTGTTTATACAACGCTAGCATTAGTGTTTGAAGTATGAGAAATATTTCACAAAAACGTGAAACATTGAAATTTTTTTTAACACAAATAAAAACACAATTTAATTATTTTTTTAACACAATGTTCAGTGTTCTAAATTCTAATGTCAGAATTCAGTAAGTATACAATATACATGTATAATATTGTATACCTACTTGTATCATTTAAACATTAAAATATTTAAAAATTTTTAATACCAATTTAAATGTATAATACCAAAGGTTAGGTAACACACAGGTACAATATAGTGATGAAGGTAATTTATGACAATTATATGTAAATATAAAACTTATTTAAAAATAAAACAAAATATATTAAAATACTGAAATATTTCATTTTTTTTAAATTTCATGAAATTTTCAAACACTAGCTAGCATATTTAATTTTTTTTCCAACCCTAACCTAAATTATAGACTATAGTGTTTATACTTTATACAATATTGCCATATAAGTTAGATTCGAATGATATACATTTTTAACTTTAAACAATTCGCGGTAAATATTTTTTGACATGAAAACGAAATAGACTGAAATAGTGAAATGTAATTAGAAATTTAGTGAGTCAACAGTTAAGTTAATAAAAAGCCTAGAGTAACTAGCTAAGTTAAAGAATTAAGATAAAATTAACTTTTTAACTCGTTAATGCCCGCCTTGCTTAATAGCCTTTCGAGTGTGTGAACAATTTTGTTGTATGGTTATTATTGAAGTTTCGGAAATTATTATTTGTTGAATGGAATGAAAATTATGTGACGTGTTCTTAACGTTTTGATTAATAATATTAAATGTAAACTCTGCAATCATTGTAGGTACCGGAAGTCATTAATAGTTTCACCTAACTATACTATTTTATACTATTAGTTCAGCAATAGGTACTTACTCTCCCAGCACGATTTAGTCATCATATTCCTTCCACCCCTTTACCATCGAGCAGATATTTTGGGGTTCGTTGTACAAATATTGATGTCAAATGTTGGGATTCATTAAGAGGATAGATGTTGATGTTATGAAACTATTGAATTCCCTGAAGTCATTATACCGTACTCTAGCGAGTCATATTCTTTGAACATGGTTCTATCGTTTGGAAACCACAAACAGTGGATTACAGGCGTACCAACTTGAACGAAAGTTCTCTAGTTTTGGCATAGATAGTTACACTTTAAAAATATAACAATCAAATATATCACTGTGACTATACGGTTCGATCCGACGAAAAATGGTCAAATATAAATATAATTTAACATAATGACCACCGTAAGGGACAAGACGCAAATATTTCTTTGGTATTTTCCTTTTTGTTGGTATAAAACTTAAACTTTGTCCACGCGTTACTAATATAGTGACTAGAAAGTGTGAAACCACATTTCGTATCCCCATATTTGGAAATGTTCTAAAATAATAATATGCAATGAAATACAAATTTGAATCGCCTCAAACATTCCAATTGTCTAATTTGGTATTTATATAATACTGTTAAATACATTTAACTTTTAAGAGTTATAGTCACATATTATATTACAATTTATATTTACAATTTTTACAAATAGTTTTTACATTTCCACAACGGATACATTCTAAACCATATTGATTTGTATACCATGGTACATTTTGGTAAAAAAATCCAATTCCAACACGAAACTAAAGTAAATGATTATATAAAATAGCAAAACATCTAACATTGGCACAATAAATTCGTTTTAAATATTAAATGATATTATCAAATACACGTTAGTGAAATAATGATTATAATGATTTATTATAATAATTTGCTATAAACCATGTTTATTACTAAATTAATAGTTATGATAGTATTGATCATCATTCATCAGAAATAAACAAGATGTAAAGTGAATAAGTGACATAATAGTTTATCGAGACCTACATATATAATATAAGAGTGAGGTGTGAGTGAACGTATGA